CCCCCCCCATGAAGTTGCCACACTTTTTTTTTTTTTTAAACTTCGAGTAGCATTCTAAAACCCGGCCTCTTCGAGGCAATCTTCTTTATACTGCTTTTTGGCTCTTACTCAACTGTACCAAGCACTCCGCATCTGCTTTTAAAGTCTTCAGACTACTGTATTAGTCATAGCCTCTCGGAGGGAGCCACAGGACAATGGGAATTTTAATCCTCATTTTAATGAGGATCTCGACGGCCTTGCCCTTCTCTTCCAGGCTGCCCCGAAGTGTAGCTCCAGTTCTGTGAGGTTTCGAGGATTGGCAGAGGGGATCGAGGGGACCATGAAAATGGACATGGAGGATGCGGATATGACTCTGTGGACAGAGGCTGAGTTTGAAGAGAAGTGTACATACATCGTGAAGGATCACCCCTGGGACTCCGGAGCCGACGGAGGGACCTCGGTTCAGGCAGAGGCATCCTTACCCAGGAATCTGCTTTTCAAATATGCCACAAACAGCAAAGAGGAGGTAAGTCGCTGCTTTATTGCTAAAGAAGACTGGCATCTGATACCAAGTCTCCCGACTAGTCCTTGAGGCCTCCTATGTCTGTGAGGATCTCTGAAGACCTGTAAGTAACTGATCGCTTGGTTCACTTGTTTCATTGCTGTCTCTTTCTCTAAGTCAGTTCTGGCTCGCTTCCTGCAGCCCGCCACTGTTCCCTGCTAATTAGTAAACAGTTAAACCTTTTGGCAAGTCAACTTGTCTTGGCAAAGCTCAACTGCAGCATGGGGTAGACGAAATTGTCAGCAGTCTTGGAGAGAGCTGCTGGCCACTCTGGGCCCGCTCGCCCTAGGCCCCCCCAGGTGTAAAACAGCTTTTGAGGGAGAAAACTTTTTCTAAGAAAAAAACTTTGTCATGTTTCTTTTGTCTCCTTTGGGTCATTAGGTGGCTTTATTCTTTTTAATGAGCCAGCTTTATTGGCTGGGTTTCTAAAATTATTCTGAAAACCCTGAGGTGTTTATGAACTGAAGTGATGGCATAAACTGAGCAGAGGGTCATGTAAAAGTGTCCTCCGTCCGGATGACCTCAGAGCTCACCACCGTTTATCGGAGGCAGCTCCCTGGCTCTGGCTGGGCTGGCAGGCCTGTTCCTTACTGGCCTCTGAAGTGGGTACACTCTTTGTTGTTTCAAAGGAGCTGAAAACCCCAACTTAGAATGAGCAAGGGATTTGTGTTTATCCTTTAATATAACTATTATAGCTAGGCATGATGTTTAGCTGTGAAATAACTTGCAGAACCACCTCTTGTTTTGAGCGTTTGCCTACCGCAGTTGCTCTCACTAGTCTGCTGGGCTGAGTTGAAGGAATCGACAGCTCAACAGACTTCCCACCACCAGCATGACCACAAGCCACTGTCAATTCGATTACTGCCTTCACAGAGTAGTGAAAAGGGGATCCTTTGCTGTAAGAATCCAAATTCAGTATTGGGACTATTCACTATAGCCATGGCAAATCACTCTCTTCCTTCTCTGAGGAACAGCATTTGAAGGAGCCAGGAGCCTGTTTGGGAAATCCTTTGCACTCAGACACAAACAGGAAAGAGACAGTGTTTTTGGTGAGGGGGAGACACAGCTGTCTAAAATTAAATAGAGCATCTTTGCTTTGAGTTTCATCATAAAGCGGCCTTTTTTTCTTTCTTCCCCCTGTTGGGAGAGTGAAGACAGATTTTATAAAAAGCAAAATTTAAATTGTAGCAGTACGTGAACATTACTAAAAGTTTAACCCAAGAGATCAGCCTTAAATTCTATCTCTTTGCAAGTAACACTGTTCTCAATAGAAAGTTTCTTACAATGTGGCCCCTGCAATCAATGTAGGATTTGTTTGGGTGTTTAAGGCTGGGCTGTGACTTTAAACAGTGCAGTGTGTTTTATCCCATATCCGATTTGACCAAATGTTGGTCTGTTCCCCGGGTTCATCTGTGCTGTATTGCCCTGTCCGGTCCTTTGGGACTGAAAAAAGTCTCTGTTGTGTGGGTCATCTTTGCCTTTCAATTCTACAATGTTCTCATCCTCCGTTCAGCACTCAGCTTGCGTTTTTCAATTTCCATCATTCTACTTAAAAATTATAGCTAAATTCAGATCATGTAGTCCAAGGTTCAGAAAGATAGTCACTTACCCAAGGTGTATAGTTAGAGCCAGAGCAGAGACTTTGAGGGAGCAAAGTTCTACTAACTTCCCCAGACAGTGCTTCTTGATTGTGCTACACTGGCCCCTCTTGGTGTCACTGTGGCTTTATTTATAGTCTGAACATATTTCAGACCGATCCTTTATTAAGCTGGCTTGGTTCTTTTTTCTCTGAACGTGTAACTCCCTATTTCAGTATGTTCAGCATGCCAAAAACCACGCAGTGCCTGTATTCCTAAAGAGGGTCCTTCAGCCCCTAACCTAGTAAGAGATCAGGGCTCTCTTGTTATACTTTCCAGTATTTTAACTGAAACACTTGACTAAAATAGCACATCTTAAGTTCCTAATCTTAAAAGCAACCAGGGATCCAACTTAAATGTAATACTGTCTGAAGCCTACTCTGGAATTTATACCTGTTTTTCTGTTTCTCCCTTCCTTTTTGAACTTTGGGGAAGGACAGCTCCCTTAAGGTGATGAAAGAGGGCTGTGGAATCGGGCCATTGAGGACGTGCTTGCTGCAAACCTGTTCTCAAACAGGGACCTTTAGGATTGATGAACTGTTTACATTATCATTATTCAGTTAGTCCTCTCAGGCCCACAGGCTGTGGAAATAGGTGAAAAAAGCTTTTCTGCATGTAGTTTTTATCTGCCTGATTTGACTGATTTAACTTGCTCTTCTTTAAATGTTTTCATTTAAGTAGCAGAAGATGTTACATTATGTACTATTGTGCTGACATACTTGGGGAATTTTTTTTTTAACAAGACCATTTTTCATTATGAATTTGTGCTATGTGTCAGCACCTTTTTTTTTTTCTTTGGTTTAAAAACAAAACATACAAACCATATTTCTGATCTCGACCCCCATTTTTAGATTTGGTTTAGAATCATTCTGCATCTTTAATGAGGCTGTTCGTACTTCCTATTTCCAGAACTCAAACCAAATATAGACATAGTATTCAAAACTTTTAAAACTTTTTCAACTGATGCATTATTCGTCTAGGGGGATTTTCCCCTTGTCCTCTTGAAATAATTTTCTGTGACTATTTGAATACAGAAAGATCCATTTAAACATTTATATTTTAGAAACAGTAGCCTGCACTGAAATTGCTGCGCTCTAGAGGCTCTGTGGCTCCGAGTCTGACCTCCCAAAGCCATGTGGTGATAAACATCAGACGGGTGATGGGGACTCGCTCAGTGTCCACTTTGATTGAAGTCCATTATTAACTCAAGCCATCTGTAAAAAGTATCTCGCCACAACGTGCAATTCCCTTTTCTTCCGACTGCCTTTTATTTGGGAGGCATGTACTGAGGCATTACCACATTTCCTTTAATACAAAGATAATTAAGGAGGAAACCTTCTAAAAACATCTCCATTCACTCCACCCCTTTTTAAAAAATGGGGTGCATTACCGGCTAAAGTCTTGGTCCACGACCGAGTTCTAGTCATCTCATTGCAGATAATCCTTGTAATTTTCATCGAATGGGCCATTTTAGGGGAGGAGAGGTTGAGGAGGGGGAGAGATAGCTAGTAATTAAAATGATCTTAATGTACCCTAGGGGAGAGGATGCTCATAGCACATTTAGATCTGAATGCTGTTTCTGGTTAAAACCCACTGCTGTGTGTGTATGTGAATATTCCCCAAAGGAGGAATTGCTTTTAAAAACAAACAACAGACAAAGAACTTACATTCTCCTTGCTATCAGATTTTTATTTCGCCCCCCGACATACACCCATCCATCCTAAGTTGTGAAATCTTCATTCTGTCTGGTAGCTACTCCGTAAAACTGAGGCCACTGACAGAGACAGATCTGCCCACGTGGCGGAGGGGCCGGCTCCGCGCATAACCCATGACATCCAAGGGCCTCTGAGGGGCAAGGAGTGTGGCGGCCGGTGTGGTCTCGCTGAAAGGCTTACGGAAGGCACACAGCCTGTCCTCAGCAGACCTTCTTTAGGACCCTGGTCAGTTCCAGTGAAGTTTCCTTCCCGAGCTAGGTGAACACATTCTTAGGCTGTTTGGCACTGCGAGACCCAGGGCACAGACCGGGTTCCCCTGTGCCCTCTGTCTTGTGCTTGCTCCAAGGATGGAATGTTGTTGGCTAAGGTTCACGTCTGGCTGCGTCTTTCCAGGGCCAGAGTGAGAGCTATGACCTGGTCTCCCACTTCCCGTTTAAAGAAACCCTTGATTCCTGTTCCCCTTAGTTACCTGGCCAAGCACCGGAATCTTAGAGCTGCAGCTATTATATGTCCTCTTCGAGTAATATCTCAGACATGGATTTGAGATGAAGGTGTTTATTGTGTGTTAGAGCACTAGACTGGAAATGCATATGGATGGCATATTAGCTACACGATTTCTTCCCACTTAAAAAATCTGTGATTTTATGTCTCTTTCCATATATATGAGTTTATATGTATCCTATAGCTTTGTGTATAATAGGAATTTAAAATATTAAGCTTCTGTCTCACTTGTAAAGATAATCTAATATTGAGGTCTTTTATATCTTTGGGGCTCTTAAGGATTTTCATAGATCTCTCTTCCACCACAGACCTTCCTCTTTCTAGTTGTTCCCCTGTCTTGCCTGCTGTATTGCATTTGTAAGATTACAGATGGGAAGAGTTACCTCCAGTAGTACCTTATAGCTTCCCCATATTGCTCAAATAGGTGCTGGGTGCTTTATAGCTTCCTCAAATTTCTAATTGACTTCTTTTGGCCATAAGAAAATGTTGTGTGTTTTCTTAATGTAAAATTGGTAGCTGAAATCCAAGAAGCCAATGGTTAAAAGAATGGCAATTGAGAATAAAACCCCTGACCTCAATGCAGTGCTCCTTGTTGGTAATCAAGCTCTGACTCCTAAGACACGGTCTGCAAGAGACTATAATTTAAAACAAAGTTGATGAACCAGTTGAGTACCTTTCTTGAAATTACTGCTTTAAAGTGGATATGTTGAAAATATCAACTGCTAATTATTGGCTCACCAACAAATGACATTATTTGTTTTTCCTGTTTGTCATTTTAATATTATGGAATAATCACTCAGACATGAATGCCAAGTGGTTTGTGTGTCATAGAAGTCAATTCCATGAATTTTTCCAATTAATTAGGTTCACTCTTGTGTCATAAACAATGAGCTTCTGAATAAGTAAGTCCACTTATTCTCGAGTATATATTTTTATCTCAAGACTATTCTGAGGTACTCTTGCCCCCAATAGTTGTACTGCCAACAAATACCAATAATGACAAACTGCTATTGAAAGGTCAGATAGATGTAAATGAAGGCAGAGGAAGAAGATGAAATGAACATCTGCTTTTTTCACCTGTCTGACAGAAATTCATAAATGACCAAAAATAAAACTGTAGCTCACCAACCTCGTTTCAACTTGTATTAGGTGTAGGAAAAAAATGTTTTCTGTCTTTCCCTTCTGGGTATGTTCCATTGACTTGAATATTGAGTAATTAAAAATATATATATTTTTATAAATAAATAAATAAATAAATAAATAAATAAATAAACAAATAAATAAATAAATAATTTAATGGCTGATCAGAAATGTACATGAGAAAGACTGGTCTGTCCCTATCTTTATAAGTGTGCCTATTCTACATGCATTTAAACGGGCTTGAATTCTTGATGCGATTTAATGACGTGTCAGTGCATATCATAACCCAAATCTTAGATTCCACTGTGAACATTCAATTGATTTACATATTTGGGTCTCCATTTCAGGTACAATTACACAGGAACCACCAGGGATAATAAAAACAGGAAAATAATGTTGTCTTTTAAACCTCCCCTCTTGGTCCATTTCAGTATGCTATTTAGTAACTAATTTGTAGGCTCTTTTGACTGAGAAGAAAATAAAAATGGGAAAGTGAGTGTATAAGAACCCAAACAAAACTAACTGCAAAACGTTGTAAAGGACTAATTACAGAGGAGTTTTTTCAATACTGATGAATTGCTTCCTGATTCATGGTTGGTGATTTTTTTTTTCCACCCTCCTTAAAGAAATTTACGATCAAGGAGGAACTGGCATAGTTAACATGTTTCTTTAGTAAGGCCCTACAAAGTTAGAATGTATGATACTTCCAGTCTGAGAAGGTCATTTCCTCAGATCTTAGAACCCACAGCTCTCAGAACCCACAACTCTCCTCAGTATAAATTTCATTTCAGAGGAGGGCTTTTGACCACTGTTGAGTAGAAAGATGCTAGAGAAGAACAAAAGTTACTGGAAAGATTTTTCTTTTTATAAAGAGAACTTGCAAGCTATGAAAAAAAAAACACGAAAAAAAACAACCCTCATCTGGGTTGAAAAAAATAGAATGTGTTTGGTTTCTGGTTCCTTAGGCCTTTGTGGAACAACCAAAGAGCATTATTTTGGTTTCTGAGGTTAAAACTATTGTATTCCCCTCAAGCACACTGTGTTTATGGTTTGAGGGAAACGGAGAAATAGGAAACTAGGAGCAGGCCGAATTGGCCTAACCTTGATCACCTAATTCTGCAGTATCTGATTCTCATTCTAAAACAGAATGGCTACCCTCTCTGTTCTTGTAAAAAGTAATAATAAAAATAAAGGACCCTCAGTCACTGGAGAATAATCCTCTAGATTATTTTAATGCTTGGTTGAGTATTTGTTTAGGATCTGGGAGTTTAAAAATGGTCTTCCCCTAAGGTGAAGCTCATTGTTAATTATGTAGGCACCATATCACAATTTTGTCATTGTTAGTTGCATTACCACTTGACAAAACAATTGATTGAAATAAAAAGACTGGCTACTGTTTTACAGTCAAAGTAATTGTTTCATATGTTTTACCTCCTTTAGGTTATTGGAGTAGTGAGTAAAGAATATATACCAAAGGGAACACGATTCGGACCTCTAATAGGTGAAATCTATACCAATGATACAGTTCCCAAGAATGCCAACAGGAAATATTTTTGGCGGGTAAGTATGGAAAGTTTTTTCAGATTCATTAAGAAAAAAAAGTAGAGCTAGAATTGCTAGGTCACTTCCTTTTTCAACTTGTACTGGGCCTCACCACAACTATCCAGGGTCCCCATGGACACAGCCAATTCTAAGCAAGTGTGATGAAACTGGCTAAATGTTTGGCCCTGGAAACACTATCTATATATATGTGGTTAGGGATGGAGATATGGACTATATGTGAATCTTAATTTTTGCAATTCATCGAGCTTTTGTGATGAAAGGAAACAGTTTGTTACTTGCTTCAGGGTAGGCTCATTTGCATTTCTCTGCAAGGAAGTAGTAATGAGTCACCAAGCCTTAGATTTCACCTCTTCTGATTTCTTGCTGAGTTAACTTTAATAGAATGAAAGACTAATCATTATCTTGAAAAAAGTACCATTCAGGAAGGCTAGGTAGAAGAGAGCACTAGGGAAATGGAGATAGACTTCAGGACTAGTCCTGTTTAAATTTGTCTGCACCATAAAACTATCGGATTTGACAGTATGTAGATTACATCCATAGCATGGAAAAATGCTTACAATCATGTAAGACGATAAACTTTTCTATACCATCCCGTCAAAAAGCCTGGCCAATACAATTTCCTTTGGAATATCAGGGTTAGAAAGCACCTCAAAGGTGAATTAATTAGATGGATTCCTTGAGTAAAAGACCCTGAATTATCAGTGAACAGAGAAAAAATTGGACTGCTTTATATCTTCCCACTGCTCTCCAGGATATTCAGTTTCCTCAATTAGAAAATAAAGATTTGTTTACAAAATTTAAAAGTAATTTTTTATACATGCATAAAAAGCACACAACTGTTGGCGAATCGTTATTTGAATTCTTTTCAGAAACAGCTGCATGGTAACAACAAAAATTGGATCATACTTACTTTGGCCAGTACTTACCTAGAACGCTTATACCTTTTGGACACGTATCTTGATAAAAGATATTTGGGAATCATTCAAAAGTTGTTCCTAAGAAACAAGATTTTTTTAAAAGTCAGGACGTTTTGTGTTTTTAGAAATGGGTTATTCTATTTTCCAAGCAAAAGAGAGCTCTGAGAATAGTGTGTTCACAATTTTTAAAAATAACTTTATCATGCTTAAAATACATGACTTATAATGGGCAAAACGTAAATGAGTGCATTTTTGCCTTGACAATAAAATCTTCTCAGAAGTGACCCTTAGAGGTGTGTAATTCTGAAGTCGCAGATCTGAATTAAGACAATCTAGCGTAAATCTCATTAACGCCTGGTCATTTTGACAAAGGCAAGAAATACCTAAGAACTTCCTATCTCTGTCCCAGTTCCCTGGTTCATTAAAGATTCACTATAAGTAACTGAAATGCTGTCCTTAGAAGGATTTATTTGAATCAGTCTTTCACATGCAAAGGATATTGTAGGAGATAACGTCCCACATGTTGCTAAAAGCATCCTGATTTTGCTGGCAGGAATATGAACATCTGTTTGAGGAAAGAAAAAGTTTCATGCAAATTACACAGTCAAAGAAGAGAAGGGATGTTCAAGTTGAGAAACCAGTGACATTTCTTGTAACTGTACTATGAGTCAGCACTTTTTAATCTTCTTGATAATATATGGAAATGTAGTGAGGTGACAGGGAGCAGTGTTCATTTGACGTATGCATATTTTCATGTGTGTGAGTGTGTGACTTCATGGCATTGCTATTTCTGTTTTTAAATGAGGATACAGTAAATTGTAGTCCGTGGAAAGCTGACTGGAATCAATATACCCGTAGCTTTAGAAAGCAGTTTCCGCCCGACCAAGAGTGCAAGAGCGATGGAACCCCATGTTCCTGGAAGTTTGCACATCAGAGTAAACAAACTTGAAAACCCCTCTTGATAGCAGAATTCACCCAGCCTTGTTCCATTTTCTCTTAACAAAACACACCGCAAAAGCTCTCACAAGCTGCTTTGATGAAGCCACATGTATTTCCCCCTTCACAATTTACAGGAAGTTACTCTTAAAAGAAAGTGATTCTGGTGTTTACTGCCTGTGTTAAAGGGACAGGGTTCCTTTTCGTCTCTGATAACGTTGGAGCGAAATATAGACTCAGTTTATAGACTCACATAGTATGTGACTAAGAACAAAGCAATAGCCTGCTCTCCAGTTAGAGCACAGCTTCTGCTACGAGCCGTGCCCCAGTTCTTGGGGACCACGAGTTGCAGATGGCCAGGTGTCAATGCGTTTGTGTGAGGAGATTTCTGAGGTCTGAAGAAAAGGTGGTGCATGCTGAAAAGTGAGAGAGAGAGACTTTCTGTGGACGGGTAAGGAGATTGTTTATGAAGCCGTTTCAGGAAGAATGTGTATTTTCATTTCTCCTGCTCTTACCTCTGCCTTTTCCCCAGTGGCCTGTGTGCATCTGTTAACCAGAAGGATTACTACAAGGCAAACTCTGAGTTCTTCATTATGTGTTGCCTTTAAAGAATGACATGGTATCTTCCTGTTCTGTTTCCAAAAACACATGCCTATGGCTCTGAGAGTGACGTTTCAGCCAACCTCACAGATAGGAGGGTTCCCTCTCCCCTCCTCTGGCAGGGCTGAACATGTTTATCAAGAGGAAAAGTGACTCCTCAGTAGGCTGTCAGATGCTGGCCTCTGGCCCGGGGCTCACTTTGTTATGGCAGGTGAAGTTCACCTTTGCCCCACCCAAGTGCTTCCACAAAAAGGCCAGGCTCCAAGTGTTCATACGAACAAGTGTTACTTCTGGACTCGAGCTTGGGGGTGGAGGATGTTTGCATAGTTTAAGCCTTGGGCGGGGGTGTAGGAAACGGCAAGTACAGAGGCCATAGAAAAAGTGGAGAGACTCAGTTTGACGTAGTCAGCCGGCTCGGTCTTCTACCCAGTGACTCAAAGCATTAAAAGTCAGCATAATGGGAACCCGAGTTCATAGCATCACCCGTTTGCCATTCGCTGCCATAGCAAAAGTAGGACTCCCGGTGGTTTCATTGGCCTGAGGCAGCTCCTTAAATGAAATTTTGTGTTTCATTCTTCTGTTATTTTCCCCCACGTGAAAAGACGATAAACCCGAGATGGAAAAGGTAACCGACAAAGTGTGCCTCACCTGTTTCCGCCCTTATTTCTGCTGATTCAAGACTACCCCGCCAAACTGAATGGATTCTTTTTCTAGAGAGGCGATGGGGGGAGCAGAGTCACAGGCAGGCTTGCCGTGTTGATTCTCAGAGGCGTCGGGGGCGGATTTCTCTTCAACCCGTCTGTCTTCTCTTTTGGATAGATCTACTCCAGAGGGGAGCTTCACCACTTCATCGATGGCTTTAATGAGGAGAAGAGCAACTGGATGCGCTACGTGAATCCGGCACACTCTGCCCGGGAGCAAAACCTGGCTGCGTGTCAGAACGGGATGAACATCTACTTCTACACCATTAAGCCCATTCCTGCCAACCAGGAGCTTCTTGTGTGGTATTGCCGGGACTTTGCAGAAAGGCTTCACTACCCTTATCCTGGAGAGCTGACAATGATGAATCTCAGTAAGTGGATTACAGAACAAAAAAATTTTAAATGCCAGTCCTGTCAGTTCTGCCCCTATGAGCTAATAACATGTTGTTTAATTATATGGCTTCATCTGTTGGGCCAAGTAGGTTGCTAAACTAGGCACTAAGAAGAAGGGAGAAAATTTTTAGTGCCTATTTCCTATTATAAAACTTGATCATTTAAAAAATATTTAAGAACTACTTTGAGTGTTTAATTCAGACAGTCACAAGAAATATATGTCCAATTCTAATCTATCCAAAAGGGGGCAGGTAAGAGTAAAATAGAGATTGGTCCTGACAGGCTGAGTTTGCAAGGAAACTGCCCACCCCCTTGTTTGTGGTAATTTGTCGGTGCTTAAAATGTGCACTTGAAATCTTACAGAGATGTGTGTTTGGTTATTAAGTTATGGTCTGATATGGAACATAGAAGATTGATTCTAGAAAAACTCGCAGCTATAATTTTTCAAAGGTTGTGAATGAATTGCAGGATTTTGTATCTTAGTTTCCTTCCTTCATCTGATCACCTGATCAGTATTCTAGTAGCCAATCAATTTATTGTAACAATTTCTCAGTTCCTTAGATTTATAAAGTTTTACTTTTTTACTTAGTGAAACTTGCTGTCCTTACCTGTCTGCAAAGGGCTACTTCCTTTTAGTCAGTCTCAGGTGACCTCTATGAATGACTTAAGAATTACCCTAACATTCCAACCTGTTGTAACTAGTGTGTTCTCAGTTACACTGCTAAATAATAAAGCAGTTTTTAAAATTAAATTTAAATTTTTAAAGCAAAATTTTAAGCCTTTTGGTTTAAAAGTTTCAGCATCTGAATGCTAATGCTTTTGTAACTTTTGGTTTCGACATCATTTCAAACTTAAGGGGGAGTTGCAAGAATAGTACAAAGAATTCCCAGGTACCCCTTACCCAGATTCATCAATCATTGATGTTTACCCATTTGCTTTATCTGAAGGCTAAATTGTTTTAGTTCACACTTTCATCTTTGAGGCTTTTGGAATAATGTTAATATTGGCATAAATTAGAATTTTGACTTCAACCCTAGGACCAATTTACCTAGTCAAGTATAATCCAACTCTGTAGCTATTTAGTGCTCTTCCCACAGTGTCTACTTCATCTCCCTATGATCTCAAGACTATATTTGTAGTTTTCTGAAAAACAGGGACCATAAAACATTAAGGATCTCTCTTATAAGACCGTCTTTCAGATTTGTGTTTGTGGTCCATATACACACACTCACATGGACACACACAATGCACCCTTGAGCTTCATGAAGAAGTCTTAGAATATTCGGGAATAAACTGGTTTCCGGCATAAACATGATGGGGATAGTCAGGTCCTGGCCTAAGGTGGCCATTCTTTTTCCTCACCTCTCTTCACTGCTCCCAAGAATCTCCATCATGTCCCCAGAGCCAAGCATCCCAGGAGCCATTCACCTATTTCGCCATCTGTATGTGCCAGGCCCAGTGCTCAAAGCCTGGTGGTAAAAGACATCTTATATTCCAGCAGGGCACCTTATGGGGAGATGGGCAGCTTCCTCCTAACTTTCTCAGCACAGCAAGTCACTTCCTCTTGGAGGTCTCCTTACAATCCTTGAGCTTAATCATTCATGGATCAGAGAAAGACCTTGATTTCTTTTTTTTAAACAGTAACTGCATTTGAGGTAATACATCCCAATGACTTTGCGCCAACCACAAAAAGAGTTCTTTTGCATAGGTCCCTCACTCTCTGCCAATCAAAGAAAGGCTTTAAAGGTCTTGCATTTTTATCCCCCAGTGAAAAGGTTTGCACAGTATTTTAAGATTCAAGGGTTTGCCCTTTATGTTCAGAAGCAGCATTCTTGTATAACTGTGAAATGACACCTTTCTCCCCTCAAATATCCCTGTTTGCTTATGCAGAATTTCTTTCTAAGTGGTGGTTTAACACTTCCAAGTACATTTTCATTGTCCGGTATTCATAGTAAAGAATGAAGAGTTAACAATACCAGTCACATTAAGCCAAGACTCCTACTGCTGATTGTGAAACCAGTTGTCTTAGGTGTGGTAACTGGTGATTGAGACTCTGATCAGGAAAATTTCCACTATTTCATCAGGCCTAATAGGTAGATTGTGTCTTTAGGTGAGTTGTGTTGGGTTTCCATGCTTCAAGCACAATAAAGGTCTGTGCCAGAATCTCCATGAGGCCTTTAAATGGCAGTGATGGCTCAACTAGTAGAGGTAGAGTGTTGAGAAGAGATTTGAAGCAAACTGAGGTCAAGAAAAATAAGTATCCAGAAATCACAAATTGGAATTTTTTAAAAGCAAAAGAAAAGGAGTCGGAGCTATTAAGTTTAACTCCTGCCCCTCCCAAGTTTTTTTGATATTTTTTTCTATATATCTATCTTACTAACCCATCTAGAAAACAGTTGACCAAATTATAGACTTCTAAATGTTCATCTGCTTTCTCAGTTTCAGTTGAAAACAGACTTTGTTTTGCCTACTGCAGAACTTCTAGGTTCTTTCTTGTAGTCTTGGGGGTTCTTATTATAGATCGAAAATGTGAGTCGGCATAATTAAGCCATTCAGAGTCTTCAGAAGAAGTTCACTCTTGAAATGACTCTGTCCGCCTACAGCCATGTAAGATTGAAGAACAAAAACAGATCTTGATTTTCCTTTTTATGTTAACGCAAGCTGCTGCTGAGTGGGAGAGTCAGAAATGACACCAGCTCCACTGATTACTCAGCTGCTGAGGATCATTTTTAAAAATGCACCTTCATGTGGATGGCATGATTTCCGCCTCTGAACATCTTAGGAAGGACTAACACTTACCTCTGGATATTGTTTTGGAATAAGACATAAATTTGTTTTTACAAAGGCGTAAAAGATGGCAAACATTTATTGTGGACTTACTATATGCTGGACACTGTGCTGAATATTTTGTAGAAAATAGGAATTTCAACTTGCTCATTTGTTGGCCCAGTCATTAGCTTTGTTTCAGTTCAATAAATGGATTGCTGATGCGCTTAGTAAGAACACCTCATGAGGAGGAACAATGCTATGGATGGGCTTAAACTTTTTGCTTTCGGCTTTAATTTGTTGTATTTTAGAATTAAGGGAGTATTGAAGCCGCTGGAAACATTAAGAGACTTAGATGTAATTTGCCACATAAAAATGGCAGGAAATCATGATGGTGAAGTGTCTGCATTTTCATTTTATTAGGATGACTTTCTTTTGTTAATGTGGGCCTGTGTGGATGCCTCTGAATCATCTTTTTCAACCTCCCTCACATTCCTTCCAGTGGCTGTGAGATAGATGTCTTGCCTATCAGTTTTCCAACTTAGCTGTCTCTCTTCCTTTACCATTTCAGCTTTAAAAAACAAAAGTGACAATTTGAACTTCCTGCCTGCTGGGCCTCACTGAAAGACTGATATTGGCCTGATAAGGGGATATTTATTTTGGTTTAGTGGCTTCAGAAATCCCTCTTCCTCAACAAGCTTTCCATCACTGCCCCCAACAGCATCTTCCCTGATAGTGTCTCGGCTGTGTTTATTCTGGAGCTGCTGGCTCACCCCAGAGTAACTGATAACAGCCAGCAGCAGATAACATTCTCCGAAGGGCTCTCCAACTGGAATTGAATCCCTCCAGCCTGTCATCCTAGGGAATGGGTTTGGAGAGCTCAGAATCTGGAGTTCCACAGAGTTCATTTCTAGACCGATCGGATATCAAGCCTGGAGTTCCTTCTCAGTTCAATCAAACAGGGACATTTTTCTAAGGCGACGAATGATACTTTTACAGAGGCGTCAGCCTGATCCCCAAGAGCTCTCCTGCCTCTCGTGGCCGATGCCTTCAACCTCCTAGGGCTAGGGCAGGTGTTCACGGTGGAGTGAGTGCCCTCCAATAAATAGCCTGAGCTCCAGCTAAGCAGCAGGGATGTGTCTGCTCTCACTGGTGCTTTCCTGAAGGCATCTTTTGTGCTGTGTGTTCCGGGCGGCAAGGGCTGGCGATGGCCTGGAGAGAATGGAAATGTCTTTTTTGTTGCTGCTATTCCTAAATAGTATATTTATCAAGTAATAATATGCCGTCCTTTGGAATAAATGCTTTCATCTCAGCTGCCTGTTTTCTTTGGTGTTCTAAGTAATTGAACTGGCTCGGGAAGTGCCTGTTGTGGTTTGGCAGAGACAACCGTGTCATGCCTTGTGATTCCAGGGGACAGCAGTGCTGGGAGCCTGGTTAGACCAGACAAAGCCATGGTGAAATTCTGTGTTGTCAGCAAATTGAGGCTAAGTGGTGGCATCTGCGTTTCTAATCTTTTTGGCACAAGCGGTTTGAACAAGGTTTTATCAAATTCATATTAAACAAGAATGAGGGTGAAAATTGATGACTATTTATTACTTGAAATGAGTCTTAACCTTTCACATCTAGTTCGCAGGGTGTGCTGATTTCCTCAGAATGACATTTATTAATCTCTGACACCCCCACCCCAGTATTTTTCCACCCCATTTTAATAGATTCTCTCCTGTTCTAGCTTGAACAGCATTTTTCCATCATAAGGGGTTTTTTTTGCTAGTGGAAACAAAACAATCCAAACGGTGCTGTTGGCTCGATCAACGCTGCCAGTGCCCTGTTGTGCTGGGAAGGAAATGGAGCAGTGTTTCGAGTGGCCCCAGGCCCTCTAGCATCAGAGGCGTTGAGAAACCAGGTGTCTCGCTGTGACCAGCTGCTGCTCAGGTTTTCTCAAGGAGAGAACCACTGGGCAATTTCACTTCAGTTCTCTGTACCCCTCTGAGTAATCGTCCTTTCTTTTCTATTTCAGCACAAACACAGAGCCACCCAAAGCAGCAGAGCACTGAGAAAAATGACCTTTGCCCAAAGAATGTCCCAAAGAGAGAGCACAGTGTGAGAGAAATCCTAAAATTGGACTCCAACCCCTCCAAAGGAAAGGACTTCTACCGTTCGAACATTTCACCCCTCACTTCAGAAAAGGACGCCGACGACTTCAGGAAAAATGGGAGCCCCGAAATGCCCTTCTACCCCCGGGTGGTGTACCCGATCCGGGCCCCTCTCCCGGAAGACTTTCTGAAAGCTTCCCTGGCCTACGGGATGGAGAGGCCCACGTACATCCCTCACTCCCCCATCCCATCCTCCACGACGCCCAGCCCCTCCGCAAGAAGCAGCCCCGACCAAAGTCTCCAAAGCTCCAGCCCGCACAGCAGCCCGGGGAACATGGTGTCGCCCCTGGCCCCTGGCCCTCAAGAACACCGGGACTCTTACTCCTACTTGAACGCGCCCTACGGCCCCGAAGGCCTGGGCGCCTACCCCGGATACGCGCCTCCCCCCCACCTCCCGCCAGCCTTCATCCCCTCCTACAATGCTCACTACCCCAAGTTCCTTTTGCCCCCCTACAGCATGAACTGTAACGGCCTGAGCACCGTGGGCGGCATCAACAACTTCAGCCTGTTCCCCAGGTTGTACCCCGTCTACAGTAACCTCCTGGGCGGGGGCAGCCTGCCTCACCCCATGCTCAACCCGGCCACCCTCCCCGGCTCGCTGCCGTCGGAAGGCGCCCGGAGGCTGCTTCAGCCCGAACACCCCAGAGAGGTGCTGGGCCCGGCGCACCACAGTGCCTTCTCCCTCCCCGGGGCCGCCAGCCTGAAGGACAAGGTGTGCAGCCCCACCAGCGGGTCCCCCACCGCAGGGACAGCGGCCTCGGCGGAGCACGTGGTGCAGCCCAAAGCTACCTCAGCGGCGATGGCGGCCCCCAGCAGTGACGAAGCCATGAATCTCATCAAAAACAAAAGAAACATGACTGGCTACAAGACGCTTCCCTACCCCCTGAAGAAGCAGAATGGCAAGATTAAGTATGAATGCAATGTCTGCTCCAAGACTTTCGGCCAGCTCTCAAACCTGAAGGTAGGCCTCGGAGCAGGGCAGTCTGTCCTACTGCTGGCGTCTGTCCCCGCGAGCGCTTACGGGTGTCTGCATTTGGCTCGCTTCCCACGGGTTACCGATTCCATTTTCAATAGGGTGAGCCGTGGGCTGGGGATAGGTTACGTGGGTTTGCCTTTGCCTTTGCCTTTACCACTTGTGGCTGTGTGGCTTTGGACGAATGACTTCCCCTCTCCTGAGTTTCTTCTGCAGAATAAAAACATGGGGTTTGGGCCAGAAGACCAGCTGAAAGTCCCTGCTAGCCTGTGACTTCTGTTCCTTTAGCTCAGACAGAACAAGGCCTTCTGAAAACCTCAGGGCATTGTTTGTTCTGTCTAAGGCTTTATCTTGATGCTTTTCTCAAGATCTCCACATCGTATATGCCTGAGTCCTTGAGCAGAAATGTTAGGTCTTGCAGACAACCGAGAGCAGAGCTAACACATGCGGCTTCTTCCCAGGTCCACCTCAGAGTGCACAGTGGAGAGCGGCCTTTCAAATGCCAGACTTGCAACAAAGGCTTTACTCAGCTCGCGCACCTGCAGAAACACTACCTGGTACACACAGGAGAAAAGCCACACGAATGCCAGGTGGGCGGTATTTTTGGGGCAGAACTTTTGACCTTTGTAGAAAACGTCTGAGGAGGTGCCCTCCCCAGGTCATGTAGCCCATAGATTAGCCAACAGGAGAATCCTGCCTTGGCACGGGCTGGCTGCCTGTCCCTGCTGTGAGCTAGGTGATGACACAGCAAGCTCCCAGTGGGTGGAAAATGGTAGGGGAAATAAACACCACCTCGTGTGCAGTGTGGCCACATCGCCCTGTTTGCTTAATGCCACACCATAGGTGCCACAGGAAGGCTTCTCCCCTCCCGGGCTGCTGGGCGTCGGGTGGTGAGCTTGCCCCTCCCACTGACGATTCTTAACCTTCTGGTCTTCCCCTCTCCCTCCGGTGCCCTCTTCCCCACACCGCAGGTTTGCCACAAGCGATTTAGCAGCACCAGCAATCTCAAGACTCACCTGCGACTCCACTCTGGAGAGAAACCTTACCAGTGCAAGGTGTGCCCCGCCAAGTTCACCCAGTTCGTGCACCTGAAACTCCACAAGCGCCTACACACCCGGGAGCGGCCCCACAAGTGCGCCCATTGCCACAAGAGCTACATCCATCTCTGCAGCCTCAAGGTCCACCTGAAGGGGAACTGTCCTGTGGCCCCAACCACGGGGCTGCCGTTGGAGGACCTGACCCGGATCAACGAAGAAATCGAGAAGTTCGACATCAGTGACAATGCCGACCGGCTCGAGGACATGGAGGACAACATCGATGTGACCTCTGTGGTGGAGAAGGAGATCCTGGCTGTGGTCAGGAAGGAGAAAGAAGAAACTGGCCTCAAAGTGTCTTTGCAAAGAAACATGGGGAATGGACTCCTCTCAGGGTGTAACCTCTATGAATCATCAGACCTGTCCCTCATGAAGTTGCCTCCCAGCAACCCACTACCTCTGGGACCTGTCAAGGTCAAACAAGAAACAGTTGAACCAGTGGATCCTTAAGATTTTCAGAAAACAAAGAAGTGTTTTTGTTTTGTTTCTTAACTTATGACTTTGGCAAGTCAGGGTGCCTGTAGCAAATTACTTGTACATAGACCCCGGTTCTGCAAAGCTCTCCCCCACCTGTCTGGAATCAAAGAAGGATCTTCCAAAGTTACTGAAATCTCAGGGCATAAATGAGGCAAAGACAATATATATACATATTATATATACTTATTTACACCCCATATATATATATATATTTGAACCTGTGTATTTTGAATATTTTGTGTGAATATGTTTGCATAGCCTTCCCATTGCTAAGACTATTACCTAGCCGTAATTATTTTTTTCAATGATAATCCTCCATAATTTATTATACAATTTACCACTTAAGAAGCAATAATTAAAAAAAGTTTACAATGCCTGGAAAAATTCCTTGTAATTTGAGTATAAATGTTATATTTTTGTCTTGTGGCCATTCTTTGTAGACAATTTCTGCACATCTGTTTAAGTAACTAAGATTTAGTATTCAAATACATTACTTCAGTCAACCTCCCTCTATAGTAATGGCTTGAAAATGAGATTTTGGTATTGCCAAAGTTAGACAGCTGATGTGTTAATTTACAGGAGCATATCATTTGAGCAGCATTGTATTACTTGGGGGTATGTGAACAGAATTACCCGATAATAACTTCAGTAGGATAAACAAGAAAGGGAATCTTGTATGTTTCTGTAGATAGCTCAGTTTTTTCCCCTAGCCACAGATTTACTAGAAAGGTGACAAGGCTCTGCCAACCTCTCTCCCTCTCCAAAAAGCAGGGTCACCCCAACCCTGAAGTCATGTGACCATTCAGAGTGGCCATGGACTTTTGCATCCCACTTTATTATCTGAAAATGTGAAGAAAACAAAATGGCATGTTTAAAACCACTGAGAAATGTTCCCAAAGCACAGGTGGTTTTGTGTGTGTGAGGTTTGGGGGCTTGAGTCTGGGTGATGTTTTTGTTGTTGTTTTTGTTATGTCAGAATTGCACAAACATGGTGCTCTACCAGGAAGGATTTGAGGTAGACAGGCTCAGGCCACACTTTAAAAAAAAAAACAAACCAAACTTAAAAAGCAAAAAAACAAACGGGTATTCTCATCTTAGGGTAAAAGCGGGTAATGAGCATTCCTATCCCCAACACATCAGTTGTATTCTTTCTGTAAAACTCAATTTTCCTCAGTATTTGTGTTTTCACATTTTATGGTTAATTTAATTGAAGATGAAAGGGCATTGCAAAGTTATTCAACAATAATTACCTCATTGAGTGTGTCCAGTAGTGCAGGAAATGATGGCTTATCTGATGATTTGCTACTCTAGACGAAACTAAGTGTGCTCCAGAAAGAAGCACGATGCCATTGTAGCTCTTACTCTGCTTAGCCCAAAGATCACATGTTGGCATTCAAGGTGTATGGAAGAATGATGTATATTTATAAATCTATTTATACCACTATACCATGTATATATAATATATTTATAACCACTTAAATTGTGAGCCAAACCATATAAAAGAACCTACTTTTCCTATGGGCAAGAAAAAAAAAGAACAAAACCCTTTCTGAGACTTTGTTTAGCACTCGGTGACCTCACAATCATACTGATGAGCTCGGGCACCCCTCACCCTTGTAAGAGACCCTAAAACCTTGGTGCAAAGGTGGAGATCTCAACAACCAGGGAGAAAGAGATTTTGCTTTTTTACTATTAAGGACAATCTAAGATGGCTTTATTGCTGTTTTGCGCCATTATGTGGTCACACCCAAGTCACAGAAATAAAAATCCCTTCATTACTCCTTTACTATTGTAATTTTTTTTCTCTCTTCCTCTCCTTCCTAAATAGCTGATGGATCACTAATTGATCTGGTTTATATATATGCAGCATTCTTTTCATGGCAACTAATGTCAACTGCAGAAGAGAACAACAAATTTAGGATAATCCAGGGACGCCCAAGAGCCTTACTGATCTGTTCTTGTAGCAAACCTGAGTTTTTTATGTATCATTGTTTGACAAACACAGTCCTTAAATTTATAGGTAAATAAACCAAAGCATCACACTGACATTGACACCAAGTACTTCCTATTCCCCACCGCTCAGTTGTCCTTTTTCCCTTTATGTGGGAATTTTTACCAAGACCTGCATGGCGGCTTGAGACTTCCTGCTTCTCTGTAGCGTCCGACTTGCCCTCCTAGCCTCTTACGTCTGAATGTTGGGCCCACAATCAACAGTGGTTCTATTTTTCCCCCTCAAAGTCAAAACTGACCAAAGTTACTGACATTTTCCTTTGCTAGAACAACAAACTATCTTATGTTTACGTACTGGTTTACATTGTTATTTATGTGCAAATTGTCAAAATGTAAATTAAATATAAATGTTCATGCTCTACCAATGCTTGTCCAGTGTCTTGAGTGAGGGGCCAGTGAGCGACATCTTAACCACACTACAAAGGTGGCCCCAGAACAGATTTTGAACACAACACGATTTGTCTCTCTCCTGCCCCCCCCCCC